GAGCAGGAGATTTATTTAAAAATAAATAAAATAAAAGGATGGTGACAAGAGTTCAGAAGGCTGAAGGGACTGACACAGGGAAAGATTAATATAGCTGATTATTTATGTGTTGAAAACCTGCCAGATATGAGAGGAAACATTCAGAAGTGATGGAATTGTGCAGAGCCTGAGACAGGGAGCATTTGTTGAAGGGAGCAACCAGCAGTTCTGAGATGAGACTGGGAGAAATGAAAAATAGTGGCTGATCCGCTGGGGAACCCGATAGATCAATGACACTATCTTAGACATGAGGACTGTTTGGACAATACAGTGAGGAAAGAGGTCTCTTGCCCTGCAGACAAATCAAAAGATAGTTTCTCCAATCCAAAAACATCAACTACAGGGCAAAACAGTAGAAAATACATACAGGAGAAAGAAGGAATCCTGCCTGGGTAAATGTGATGAAAGAGCTCTTCCTCTTGCAAGTCTGTGAAAATGGCAGAGGAGACTGGTAGAGTGCCACAACGTCTGGCTATCCTCGCAGTAAGACTATTTCTCCCTCCCTTATTCCTACAATCACAGAGTTTGGGGCTCTAGCTTGGTCTGAAAAACAAGGTTCTCTCAAGGACAAGCCTGGAGTTCGGGCAAGGAGAGTCTGTGCTCAGCAAACTTGGTTTTGCTCTTGTTCTGTTGGGAGCTGCCACAAAGACATCGGATTGTCTGTTGTCTGACGATACGTTTGAATGATGCACTACTACTTGAAAGCACGTTGTACTAACCATGCCCACAGTAGTCAAAAGCAACCCGATGGCATGTAGCCTGAATCAATGATGTTCAGCTGCCCATGTCAATGATTTCTTGTGGAAATCATTGATGAATGGATGCTCGTGGGCCAAAGGATGATTGCACCGGTTGTGTTTTGACCATGTGTGGGAGCCAGATTGCTGAGTAAGATGCATTGACAGAGTCCTGAAACCAAAAGGAAGGCAGTAAATAGGATGAGGGGGTGAGAGGCTTGCCTGGCTGCACCTGTAGCATACTGAGAGCTTGTCAGCCCTGAAGTCATTTGGTGAGCCCCTAAATTCACATATATGATGTGTCTCAACATGAGACAGGCAGAGCAGAATAATTTATCTGAGGTGTTGAATAATAGCTATTGCTAATGGCCTCTTCTGTCATCCAAACTACATTTCAGAATAAATACATTCACAGCCAGGGCTGCTAGTTCCTTAATTGCCTGCGGTTCAGGCTGAGTGGCAGCACCACCACCTTCCTCTAGCAATCAGTCTGTCAGGGTGAGCGATGCTCAGGGCCCAGCACGTTCACGTACAGCTCAGACAGGACTAGCCAGCTGCACTCCTGACTTGCTTCTTCCCAGGCCCTCCTAGGTTGCTAGCAGGGACTGTGGCTTCCCGCTGCCCCTTCCTGAATGAAATTAGTGATTGGGATGAAGACAAGTCCCTGCAGATGTGCAGTAAAGATGCTATCAGCTGTGCTCCAAACCCTGCTACAGGGCCATGATGGTTGTCTGGCGCTTCACCTGTCACCACAGAAAGCTGAGGCCGTGGAGGGTTTGAATATCCAGAGGGGTGACTGCTGCCTCACTTATGCCAGGTATGGCACCCCTGCCTGCAGTCCCGTGACAAAGAATCACTTGTGCTGTGGAGCTGCTGGCAGGTTCTGCTTGGGGCCCAGTAGTTCGGCTTCCATGTCCCTGTCCTGCTAGAACATGTTTGTCATTTCATCTCCCTCCTCAGCTTTCCCCAGGTAGGCTAATTTTTGGACTAAATTATAAACTCTTTGTTTCCAGGTGCAAAACAGCGGGATTCTGTGAAACCAGGTCTGGAGAGCTCTTCGCATCAGGAGAATTTGCAGCACCCAGGTCCATGGGTGCCAAAATCAAGAGCTATAGTTGTATGCACATCTGTCATGGGCAGGCAGGACAGACATTGCATGGCAGAAGGATAACTTCACTTTGCTCCCTGTGCTGTGCCTCGAGGAGCTTCCATGGCAGCCCTTGTGTCAGAGGTATGGATATAATTGTGGATCACTTTGGGGTGTGGATTTCTGGGATTAGGACAGTGGGAAAGAGCAGGGCCTTGCTGATGTGGTGTGAACTTCTGCCACAGCTCGGCTGCAGTTTGCTTCCCTCTGGGCCACTGTCAGTTCAAAGCGGCACTCACCCCATCTCCAAGTGTACATCTGTGCTACCTAATATTCTCCTATAAAAGCATCATTGATATTTATATGAAGACGTGACATGCCTGAGGTAAGTAGGCCATTTATATTGCACTTATTTTATGAGCTTGGATCTTCCCCACACATAACCATCCTGCTAGTCAATGTACCACAGCAATAAAATAGATGAACATTTTCTTCCCTCACTTGTCCTCCTTGCTGAAGCTATTAGGTGCCTGACACTCTATCAAGAACTAGTGACTTATTTAAGGTCTGCTATCCTGGGCCTTTCCATCATAAGAAACCTGACCTTTAATCATGTCTCCAATTTCCTAACGTAGCTGCTTCTTCCCAGTACTTATCTTTCAAGGATTCATTGTTATTTCCTTGTTTTTGATTCCTTTTTACATCGCTTGCCTAGGTACAGCTCAATACAGAGCCAGGGAGAGGGATGGGCGCCTGCTGTGTTGGGGACGTGGGTGCCAGGCCCGTCCCTCGCCCACGGGAGCGTCCTGCGACTGTGCTGGGGCAGCGGCCCTGCACGCGCGGGCTGTGGTGCCACCCCAGGCGGGAAGGGGCAGAAACACGGGCCTGCTGCTCCCCATGGGCTGCGGGTGTTCTCGGAGGAGCGCGGGAGGCCCCACGTAGGCGCTGCCTCCCTC